TCATAATTATTCTTAGAAAATATCTCTAATGAGAGAAAATAAAAATGTGTTAAAAGATAAACAGATGAATGCTGAGTTATAATATACATACTAAAAAGAAATTTACTTTTGAAATATTTCAACATTAATTGATCTTGAATTTTGGTCAAAACTTTGAAATTAAAGATAATATTCTAAAAAGCTGGTCTAAGTTCTATTCCATTGCACATACAGTATAGTCAGTGTCAACAGGGCCTGCGATACAAACCTATTGTGTTTCAGGTAACCACTGCAAGCGCTACAAATACTTTATCTTCACAACCTGCTGAAGCTTTAGCTAAGTGTATTCATGTTTTTTAAGAACAAATATTTTTAACAGAACGAATCTTTTTTATTGTGGTTCTTACAGTTCAAATCATTTATAGTACCCTTTAGAGCTTGCTCAAACAACATTAAACAAATTACATACAGAAACTAAAGTTAAGAGTGTTACAGAAAATATCAAAGGTCGCAACAGAATCAGTTTTCTTGTGAATTTAGGATTCTTAGTGATAATCATTTGATAAGCCTCATTTGTTACCAGATGTCTTCAGAATTCAGAGGCAGTGTCTGAAATAATAATGGGTTATTATTATTATTATTATGGGTGAGCTATACAGTAAGTAAAATTCTAAACAAATCTTTTGAGTTCTGGAGTTGAGATTTAAAAACGTTCCTTGTTAAAAAAAGGTGCAATTGGAACATACTGCAATCATAGAAGCACTTCAGATTGACATATTTTGGCCAACCTCTGTAAAGTATCTTTAAGTGGCCTTTTAATTCTAATCTGGTTCCTGTGAAGAATTTCCAAACTATGACAGTGATAATACAACTTATTATGTCTAGTGACAGAGGGAATGAGGGGGCCAAGACACCAGAATCAAGATAATTGCACCAAAAACAGACCAGAGTCTAATTTTAAGAAGATAAAAATAACTATAATATACACAATTAAAAGTGTCAAATGACCAACAGATAAGATCAGTTTATTGGCCATATGCAATTTCTTGTCATAGGAATTTGTCTTTTCAAATACCCCAATGTGCTCTCCATGAGACACAAAGAGAGGGCCAGAGTGCAGGGTCAGCCATTTATACGGCACCCCTGGAGCAGTTGGGGTTAAGGGCCTTGCTCAGGGGCCCAATGGAGTAGGATTCCTCTGCTGGCCGCGGGATACAAACTGGCAACCTTCCAGCCACAGGCGCAGATCCTTAGCCACAGAGCCACCGCACGGCCCACTTGCTATCTTCGTGTCACACATAGAGTTGCTCACACATAGAGTTGCTCACACATCAATTCTCACAATGTTGCTGATAGCAAAAATCACTTAATGCCTACATCGTCATAAGCTCAAAAGTAAGAAAAGGCAAGGAATTGCTGAAGACCTAATGTTGATAGACATAAATCAAATTATTCTTCAGAACTCTAGCTGCTGCTTTTCCTGACACCTTCTGCTACAATTCCTCGTTCTCACAGCCTGAAACCCTCAAAGATGCTCATGAACAGATCTGTGCTGTGACATATAAGGTCATCTAATTATTTTCGAGGTTGCATTTGACACTAAACTTAGTGCTCATCCTCTTTATGTGGCAACTTTGATCATGCGGAGCCTTTTATGAGACACGTGCACCTTTATAATTCCAAAGTCACTGAAACTGACTCTGGATGTGTGTAGTTACTATTTTGTCTTCATTATATTGGTATTCCGTTCTTGGGTAATAGGTCAAAACTGGTAACAGTTTCTTGTTGTCCAGGGTCTGAGAAGTTACAATAAATTCCACTCAGAAATAAGACCAGAATTCTCTAAAGGGATAGTTTATAAATTTCCATTATAATCCTTATTTGCTTCAATTGTTTTGATTAGGTTGTAGAAAGAATCAGGAATGATGCTTCATGTACAGTATAGCACAGTGTTACTCGTTGCTATGCCTTAATAATGCTCACACAATTTTAGGATATACAAAGTAGCTGAAAGGACAATATCAGTATTGCCAGTTTCATCTGTGGATTTCTGGTAGCTTTTCTTTTTAATTGGTTTGCCTCTTCCTATTTTTTATTTTGCTAATCAGGAGCACGTGTTTTGAAGCACCTTCTCCTACTCTTCAAGAACTGATGAATAAAAATAAGATTGGAAGAGTCCATTTCCAACGCACGTTGTTCCAGTAGGAAGTAAGATCTCATTGGTGTTCTGTGCCGTGCAGGTCTAGGTTTTATTTTTCATTCGTCTGTGTTTTCTTTTCCTGGTGTTTGTGATGAAATACCTTTACATTTCTGTGGTTTAGTGTATATGTGTGAGATGTGAATCAGAGGCATTTAATGAGTAAAAAATGGAGGCAAACGAATAAAAAAACAATTCAGTGAACTGTACCATGATGGCTGATTTACACTGCCCATATAAGAAGGCAGTTTTAGAAAAGTGACAGTCAATTTAATCAAGTCCATTAGGGTAGATTGATACTCATACTTTGCTGATAAAGAGACAAGTGTTCTTTCAGCACTTAGGCCTCTGTTTACTTATGTATAGTCTCTGTGTTCATGATTTTTGAATGTATGCCTTGAACTAACAGTTTCCTAAAAATTACTTTAAATACTCTGTGGGAAGCAAATCATCTTCCTTATCTCAGATTCTTCACATTGCCAAGAAAAACGATGGGTTTAACCCTAACCCTAACCATGTTATGAAAGATATGTTTATCCCCTAGATTAAATTAGTACAGAAAGTTCTTATATATAGGAAATGAACTGCTTGGGTGTTTGTTTCTTCATGGTGTTTTAACTAAGGACTTTGGTGGTCTGCTGAAAAAGCCAACAACTACATGGATAGCAAGAAGGTCCAGAAATGGCATTCCTGAAAAATGGTTCCCTTAACAAAGGTTTGTCTGCTGTCCAGCATTAGATATAATAATTCAAAACTTAGATTTATTTGTGTTGTATTTCACTTGCATATTACAAATAGGAAAAAAGCTTGGATGCCAATCACAGCACTTTATGAAAGATCATAATTGATACAGCGTTATACTACTAATAATGCAGCATAGCATACATTTTGTTATTAAAATACTTATTGATTCTTTCTTATTGTGACGTGTTTATATGAAAGGGCAAGGTCATGCAGAGTATCCTTTGGAAATTGTGAATACTTCTAGAGCTCTTACTGTAAGTGTCTGATGCTTGTGCCAGCTCTATGTTACAAAACCAACCAATGACTGCAAAATGTAAATGTGTTCCATTGGCCTGGTGCAAATAAGTTTAGAGGCTCTCAATCTTCTAGGTTGGAGGTGTGGTAGTGAATTGATCAGGTTTTAAAGACAATAACATTCCCTTGTTGTGAAGTGTGACTTTAACATTTCAGAAAAAGAAAAGAAGGTGGTAAGAACATTTTAAAACATCTATGGTTTGGAATTCAATTAAAAAATAGATTATTCATCCCAGGAAGGCAATTTAAGATTGCTTAAAGGACTGTGTCTCTATCATATGGTTTAACTTGGATCTTTAGCAGAATCTTCTCCAGTGTTTATTAAGGAGATAGTCTGAGTGGTACACTTTTTAGAATAGCTATATAATAAAGAGTAACCACTGACAAGGAGAAGATGTGAGTAGACTAGACAGGTATATTTTCTCTCCTGAGAGTGTTCTTGAAGGGACAGTGATGCAAAATATACTGGCTCCATTGAGAAATAGGTTTCTTCCAAGCCTTCACACAAGAAGAAAGTGATCTTTGAAGGTCATTTTGTATGAAACATTTACTGTTGTCCAGGAAGCTAACTGCATTGTTAATAAATTAGTAATAAACTCTATGCCAATGCCAATGATTTAAAGGCTTACAGTGCCTGGAAAGTTTTAAAGAAGCTGCTGATTGTTCAGTCTCATATGTTTGTGCAAGCTCTGAGCGTCTATATAAATGTGTTGTATTATTTTTACAAAAAGGCATGTGATTAAGGTACTGGAATATGGAAATAGTACTGCAGTAAAACAAAAATCAGCATCATGGTAATCAATATTCTTAGTAAAATCATAAAATGGTAGTTTTAGCTTTTGTCAGCACTAGAGAAAACTGAGAATTGTATCTTGTTCTGAACTAGTGTTGTTCTGGAAAAGAAATGCATGGGTCAGTTTCGCAGTTGCAATGAACTGAATACTTTCTGGAAGGTGTAGTAAGCTGCAGTAAGTTCCATGATTCCATCATTGAGAGAAAACTGGCATGGAGGGCTCACCCACCGTGCTCTGCAAAGTTGGAATGAGTTTAATACTAACCATTTTCATCCTGTCATGTCATGAATGATATGACAAAAGGGAGATTTGTTCAGCACAGAATTCAATAATTATGACCTCTTTTGCAAACATACATCAAGGTTCTAACAAAAAATTCCTTGTTTCTACATCCTAAATCCCAAATTAATTATTCTGTGAGTAAAATTATTTATCCAGAAATCTGCACTGATCTCCCATGTACAATCCTTGTATTTTGTTGTTTGCTACGATACTATTGAGAACGCAATGTACAAAACAATGGTGGTCATGGCTGTCACTTATGAGTGGAATGTGTGTTTTTAGCTATGAATCAACATTGAAGTCTGCCAATTACGAATTGACCCAATTAGGTATACACATCAATGTAAAATCTCACTTTTGTAAATAGTTCTATTTTTGTAAATAGATACACTGTGTTCTGAAAAATAATATTATTACATTAGAACCATGATCGTATCTTTTAACGTAATTATCAATTATCAGTGCCGTACACTGATACAAAATAGTTCTAACATGATTGCTGTTATTCCAGGGATGTGAGCCCACCTAGAAGTAAGGATGCAGTTTTACCTGTTTTTTAGCATTTAAAGCAAATTCACATTATTCCACTTAATAAAAATGTTTACATTTTAAATTGGCAACAGCTAGAAAGTATAAAGTTATTTTACAATGCACGCATATGGCTACCCAGTCTTCTGATGTTCTTTTCTCTTTTCCCCTTTTTATTCTAGATTAGCATTCCTTCCCAATCGGAACCACAGTGACAACGGCAGACAGATTCTCTCCAGTGAGCTGGAATCTCAGGACTCCACCGGCTAAACCTAGAGTTTGATGAAGGAAGAGATGGCACAACACATATACACATGAATGTATCTGTAGTGTCCTGACATAATACTGTAATTTGGCCATGCTTGGATATGCTTGTCTGTAATCAAAGCTTTTCAGTCCGGTATTCAAGATGTCTGTGTATAACAGGGATCTCAGCCACCCAGACTGAAGGAGTTCTCCTTTAGCTCGGCGTCCTGTTGCGTGATGCCGGAGACCCGGGTTCGCGCCCAGGAAGTGAGGGACGAACTGGCAGGGCAGGAGCACCAAGGGCGGAAACCACCAGAACCATTACATCTGGAAGGCAGCGAGCGATCTTTCATAAAGAAGAATTGTTATATGATGTTCAGAGAATGGCAGAGGACGGCACAACTGGGTTCAAATTCACTGGAAAATTACTGCCTCTGTTGTGGTGAAGTGACCTGGAAAAGCCTATAACAACAGCACCATGAAGCATGGACATGCCTGCATATACCATCAAAAGCTTCTAGCTCAAATTATATTACCTGTACAAACAGAGATGAGCCCCAAACAGACCAATGTGACTTTCACTGCCTCTCTCTTCACTAAACTCTTGTCTAAGGGACAGGAGACAACTGAGTATCAGTGTCTTGTACAGTACCTGATGAGTCAGTTCTTCATCAGTTTATTTCTATAGTCACATCAGGTTTGGCACCTAACAGAGATATACGACTCCAGTGTCTGTAAATGAGACTGAAGTACCATGTTGGATCTATCATGAAATGGATTACAGCCTGATGTGTTGAAAACACAGGCATGGAGTTTCTTGAGCAAGGGAAAATGAGAAATGAGAAAAAGAGGCTGAACAACATCCTCGTTTGTGATTTTTCCTATTATTTGACATTCTTAACTCTTCTGGGCACAGTACCATTCAAATGAAGCATCTCTAAAGGCCTTGTCAAATAGGTATACTAGGACTTGATGCCTTTATTCTTTTGAAGGATGGCTCTTTATTAATCCACAAATAAAAGCATTCACCTTCTTCACCAAGTACCACAGCCTCCACACTGGCATCATCAAATCATGGACAATTTGGATCCTCAGCAGGGGGAAATCACTCCCTGTCCTGCTACTGACAGAAATACAGAAAAACTACAGTACATAGACCTTCAGAAATGTGGTGCAATGTGTTATACAGCTTTTCATTGATTTTAGTGTTTGTTGAAGTCAAACAGGAATAAAGACTGTAAGAATTGACTCATCTGGTTATGAAAATAAAGACTGCCACTCCAATGTTTGCCTTTACTTTGTTGTTTTTCCCCACACAATATTAGCATTTCTCTGGTCTTTATTATGGCAGGGTACTGGATATATACAATTAAATATACTATTGTATTTATTACATCAGCTTCAAAAGTACGGAGCATATTTTATACTTGATTGTTACTATGTGACAGCTTATTTTTTTATATATATATAAAGCTGATTTTTGCATAGTGTTGCTAGAGTGTATGTGAAATGTATAGAATTTTTGTAATGTATTTTAAAAATGTGCAATGAGAGCAATTACTATCCTGTATTTTTGAACTGTGCAAAATCAAGTTGAGTATATTTTGAAGAGGGTGGAAAAACTAAAGGGAAACAACTGGAACTTGGATATGGTTTTCTAGTGCACGTGTTGCTTCATTTGAAAGGTCTTCATTTTGTTGTGTCACATGCATTGTATATACTATACACTCCCATATCTTTGTGGTGACATGAATATTGTATAAGCCAGTGTACCTTAGAAGAGGATTGCCGTACTTCCACTGTGGAATTCAGACAACTCAAAACTACATGTTCAAAGAAAAGCTCCCATTATATGTTGCTCTGAATTGCCTAAAAAAAGCACTTTAAAATACCTAAGACTAAACCCTAGCACTATTATGTGTATGTTTTAATAACTATATATTAGAGATTTTTTTTAATTCGAGTGCATGCTTTTTATTTTTAATTGTTCAGCAGTTTTACCTACACACTTTGTAAGTCAGGTGATACGTAGATGTTGTAGGCTAGAAAGATTGCTATTGACCAATGCTGAACTACGGTTCTTATGAAGTCAAATATGAAAGTCCAAATGAATGTATATTACTTTCTGATAAAACATTCTACTGAATAAAGAGATGAAGGTGATAGCATGTCTGCGCATGCCTTTTTACTTGATATCATGAAACAAAAAAAAAAAACATTTCAATGAAGACTGTCCAAATATGGTAAAATGTGCACCCAAAGCCTCCTTTTTTCGTACCAAAATGCCCAGAATGATTTTGGAAATAAGAGAGAATTGGAGTAAATCACAAGTTCCCATATCTTTTGTTTGTGCAATTTTGTCTAGTAATGTTGCTCAAACATTTAACAATTACGTTAAATATTTACTTAATATGCAAACTATTTTAAGTTTTGCAAAGCATACCCGATACTGAACATTAATTGGTATGAATCAATCATGATTTTTTTTTGTTCTTTTACCAAGCATCAGCCACAAGATTTTCAATTAACAACTTTAAGAAAGAATTCTGTGCGATGTTATGCTTACCTATGCTCCCCAGGATAGGGAGCAAAATGTTCACAAGAAAGCAATATCAACTTCTACAGACCTGCATCGTGTAACAGATTACCATACTCATTAACTACACAGACTTTCAAGATAAACGTACAGTAAAGTTCCATCTTCTTAAGGGTACTGGATTCTTACAATGTTTATGCAGCTACGTGGTTAGAGGCCCTACATTTGATATCGTAGAGTTAACTTGCTAATTCAATAGTATTTTTATATTAAAATAATCAGAACACATGATCGAGTGTATATTTACTTTTATTTGAAACAGCATAGGTAAAACAAACAAGGTCCAGAGAAGCAAAGAATAAAACAGAATATTGCATCATAAGTTAACTGTAGTAAAAGATGTATATTCATACATAAAAAATAAGTGAAAGTGAAAAGTAAAGAATTCTCATAGAAATGTAGACTGCAAGATGTCGAAAAACAAATCCACACATACAGATTTTTTGGAATTATAAGCAAGAAATGTATGTCTAACTCCTCCATAACCACTCAATCCCTCTCTAGTTTCTGTGCCACTGCTTGCAATGCAAGAAAATCATTTCCAAGCCATAGAAGATGCCAGGCACTTTGATAGTTCTTAAAAAAACAGTATTGTAACAGCTGTATTTCCAAATCACTGGATAAAATGATAATCTCAGCACACATTTGATCTGGAACCATAAAAACAGTTAAAAGATTACCATTTTAAAAGAGAAGCCATTCAGCAATTGGTGTTTTTGTTTAGCATCAATGTTTTGTTAAAGCACTAAACATTTATTCCCACAAGTTAAAAGTTTAGTCTATTATATCTCAAACAAAGTATCTTATGTATCCAAAGTATTTTATGAAAGTTAAACTATTTTTTAGGTGAATCAAAAAGCTAGCCATGATTAAATTTTACCCACACTATAAAAGCATAAAGAACACTGCTCAGCTGTCAAAGGTCTCTGATCAATACCAATAAGTGCAAAATTCAAAAGAATGAATATGCTGCTGCTAGGAACACATTAAACCAAATGCTTTTTTTTGTAATCATAAAACCTGAAATGCAGTGACCCAAAACCCATACAAAAATAGTATTAATGAACAAGATAACTAAGACAGCATAATACAAACAAAAAAGCTCACTAAGGTTGCTTGTTGAACCTGTCCCTTTCTGAACAATTCAGCTAGACCTGACAATTTCCATTATACAGTACTTTTTGTCCCTGCTTCTGAAAAAATAGGCTGGTTAGAAAAACAACAGAACCAAAATGTAATATTCTGACCTAATTGAGTCCAGAACACTTAGACTGCAAATGACATTCACAAGTCATTAGCACAGAAATGTAAATGATTTCTCATTTACGACCAAATCACAAAATATTAATGAATTATATCCTTTGCTGTGGAGTTCAGAACAGTGTCTGGATACGACTTCTGTGAAAGCTCTTTCTATAAGAAAGAAAATATTAAAATTACTTATTCATCTTTTAGATCACACTTCAACATCAAATTTAACCCCCTTTAAAATGACAGTGTCCTTATTAAGTCAACCGGCTTATTCAAACAGATAATGGCAACACACACTAAAAGGGTGTGACATCTACTGCTGTTCTGGATGTGTACCAAGAATGCACTCTACTCAAATTCATACCAGTCATGTACATATTTATTTTGCCCAAAGTGCAATCCTACATGACATTTGAACAGGCAAAATAGCTGTACAAGCATCCTATAGAAGAAAACTAAAATGATATAACAGCTAACCTGATCATATGCGAGTCATGTTACTTTTATTTTTAAAAATGGACATTTACAGAACTAGAAACAGTTTAGTTCTTATTTTACAATTAATGCAACAAATTATGGTTCCATTGAGATGCGGCGATATTTTTAAGTAAATCACTGAAAGATTTAAAATACAGAACTGTATTCAGCAAAACATCAAGAGCAGTTGGTGAAAGAGCATTCATTGACAGTTACAGCCTGTTACTTTCTTACTGAACACAGAAATGAAAGTTTCCAGAGGAGTAAATTAATCATTTTTTTTTTAAAGAAAATAGGTCTAAAATATTTTGGATATGGAACGAATCTTTAACGCTAAATATTAAAGTCGCTATTAGACAAATAACAGAAATCTAAGTCAAATAGTGAACTTACTGTAAATTCGGTATAACTGCCAATCCTAACAGTCCTTTTTTCACTGTTGAACTCTTGTAATGGAGTCCTTGGAGCAGGGTCTAGAATCCTGCCCTTTAGCTGCATCTGAGGTAATATATATATATAAATATACTGCATAGTACAAGTTAAAGCAAGTTAAGAATTGTTTAACTGATTTAGAAGGAATAAAGTGAGAGAGACTGAAAGACAAAAGTCTTAACATGGAAAAAACTGCCCAAATCATTTAAATTGATCTAAAACCATCACATATGAAGCCAGGATTTTGACAAATTAGTAATCAGAAAAACCATATTATGAGTTACATTCATGGCACTAAATTCTCAGATATCTTCCACACTAATTTACTTTATACATAGCAGGCTTTTTGGTCAACAGTAGAACCTGTTGGTTTAGCTGGAAGATATCTAATGGAAGACCCTTCTTTATTAGCACACTTGTTTCCCCAAAAGTAACAAATTTCTAAAAAATAAGAACTTTGACACTGGTGTGACCTCTTACATTTTGATAATTCAAGATACCCTTTAACCTGGTTTCACAATTGCTGTGAATGCTGCGCAGACAGGAGTACATTTGAACACACCTCAACAATGTACTTAAATTTGTTATCAAAATGATTTAGGTCAATGCAGAGGAATAAGAGATCCCCCATACCTTCTGGATGGAGAGTGGAGGCTTTCCACTCACACTGTGAAAAGTGCTTCCAGTGCTGTTATTACTGGAGCTGCTAGAGCTGGAGCTCGTTACCCGCAATACAGAGAAGTTTTGTGTCCCTGCAACCTTCCGAAGAACAAAGGTTACAAACAAGAGGAGGTCATTCGGGTTATGGCAAGACCTGACATCCAAAAAAAAACAAAACTACAGTTTCAGAATATCCTGAAGCCATATTCATACAAAAAACTTGGACATAATAAAGCTTAGAAACAGGCATTATAATGCATTTCATATAATTTATCGGTCAAAAACTTTACAAAATGATATTTTCCCTTATAGACCTAAAAATGGATAAGCATCATCAGTGTGATCCAAACAACTTGTAGTCTGGTT